GCAAATAAGTGGCGTAATACATAAGCACGCAAATAAGTGGCGTAATACATAAGCACGCAAATAGGTAACGTGGGGCTGGTGTGGCGAATGCAGGGGCCGCTATACACACCGTGTATAAATATGGGCGCGCCCCTCACGGGGGGGGGATCCTCTTTTACCTATGGTGGACAGGACCTTCTCCTCAAACTGGTTGTCGGAGTATCTGCACAATATGCTGCTTTTGCCTGCGCGGGGGCGGGAGAGACGGAAGTGATGGGGCAGTGATGAGGAAGCGGTGCAGTGGTGAAGCGGTGCAGTGGTGAAGCGGTTCAGTGGTAGGCAGCTGCGTGGCCACCCAGAAACGGTCAGGACGGGGACGACAACCTACCTACGCTGGAATCGCCAACCAGTAACAACTTCAGCAGATAATCATATTTGTTCTTATTTTTCATTTTTTCACAAGGGACAAAAAAAAAAAAAAAAAAAAAAAAAAAAAAAAAGGAGGGGCGTAAAGAGGTGGCGTCAGAACGTTGTGGGATTGTTTAAATCATGCGCCCTGCGTTGAATGCATATACGCTCGTTAATATTTTAACACGGTAGTCGTTGTTTTTTGGGTAGTGGTTGCGGAAGGAGAGGGTGGTAATAAAAAAAAAAAAAAAAAAACTAGTATATGGATGTTCGGGCCGATGCTAAGGGGCGATGTTTGTTCGTGCGGCCATATTTTTTCTGGAGGCGAAGCACTCAACTACTGCGTTCTGATAATCATTCTTGTTGAAAACGCGAGATATTCCTCGTCGCAACATGGGTAACTACTAGAGGTAGTCATTCCGTGCGTCGGTCACGTGAGGAGATACACGCTGTTTTTTAACGACAGCGCGCTGAAATTTGGCTAACGTTGCTTTTTATATGCAGTTGCTCTGTTTTTTACAAATAGCACGCTTTCTCATATGATCCTGCTTCCGTGCGATGGCACATTCTTCACATGAGCTACTACTCTCTAATTATAATATACTCTTCTTGCAATCGCGCCAAGTTACATGTTTCGCCTTTCTTCAAATGGAGCGGCGGGAAAAGGAACCCAACTAAAAACAAATGTGGTTATTTGCGCGATGGTTTATATATATATATATATATAACATCCGATTCTTTAAAATATAATTGTGGCCTTAATTTTTTTTTTTTTTTTTTTTTTTTTTTTTTTTTTTTTTTCCTTTGCATTTGTTTTCGTTGTATTAGTATTATATAATAATATATTTTGCGATGTTCCAATTCGCACCTGAATGTTCGAAAAACTATATTTTTTGGTTTTTGCTCTTCTCCTTTGGGGGATTTGGATTCGTTATGGGAGGAAAACGGGCTGCGCAAATGCACCCTCTGTACGCCTTTTGGTACGACTTTGGTACGCCGTTTATACTCCTTTTGTTTTGGAGGCGTGGGGAACAGGCAAACAAAAAAAAAAAAAAAAAAAAAAAAAAAAAAAAAA